AGTCACAAAACAAGCTCTTGATCAGGCCAGTCATGAGTTCTTCTGTGAAAGACTCTAAATATACCAGCCCGAAATGAAATCTTCAGGTGTGAACTCCATAGGCAAACACAGCACTGGTAAAAATTGGCAAACATCGAGGACCAGCTGGCTTACTGACTTATCTAATGTGACAACAGTATCAAACAAATTTCCAGCTCAAAGCACACAAGGAAAAAAATCAATTTTACAGCATTCCATGGAACAGACTGAAGTCTGAACAAGCAGAGTTTAGTTTGAGTAAACTATTACATCAGATCACTTTTTCCTCCCATACGTACACCTTCTTCTCTCCATTACAGCACAAAGTTTCCTGTTCATATCCCTACACTGAGTATTTTCCTACTTCTGTGAATTCAAGTAGGTCCTTTAAAATTAAGGAATTCACATAGAACTTACAAACTTCCAGTCTTTGTGTTAACCTTGGCTGCCTCCTGCCTAGGTGTCAGGATGAAAACTAGGTGCAAATAATCCTAGGAGCTTTCATTCCATGTATGAGTGTGTAATGCAGGGGGGTTGCAAGACCTCTCCAGCCGTATCCCCAAGTTAGGACAAATGAAGGGCCAGAATTGCAAAGCACATCACATGGCCCAGTTTTCTCTCAATTTACAGTTGTAAAATCATTTTCTTTCTTTCTATCACAGGTCACAAATGCCCTTATTTCTTATCCTATACTCAAGTAGCTTGAAAAGGCCTGAATACCACACTCCAGATCTATATTTGGAATAAAAATCCCCTTGAAAATCTAAATGGACTTTTTTTTTTGGCCATAGTCTCTCCAGTTGCTATGCAATACAATTTATCTGCAAAAGAAGTTTAGTCTCTAGTGTAGCTTGCTGACATAAGCTGTTCGAATCTGTAAAACACAGAAGTAAAATCAGTGAATTGATAAACAGCACAAGTGGATTTCTCTTTGTTAAAGAGAAATACATGACACACAACTGAGTTTTTTGACTTCCCAAAATTTATGCCTTTAAAGTATCCCACGAATTCTCCAATTCTCTAGGGCTCTGTCAGTGGAGAAAGGACAAGCAAGAGAAGCATGGGGGGAGAGGGAGAAACACAAGCAGACTGAAGTATTGCATCTCATCCCCAGCATTTTTTAGTGTCTCTAAACAGTAGATCATAGAATCATTATGGTTGGAAAAGACCTTCAAATGCATCAAGTCCAACTGTAAGTCCTACAGCACCCTGCCTGTTAAACCATGTCCCTAAGTGCCACATCTGCATGTTTCTTGAACACTGCCAGGGACAGTGGCTCCATCACTTCCCTGGGCAGCCTGTTCCAAGGCTTCACCACTCTGTCCGTGTAGGCATTCTTCCTAATGCCTAACCTGAACCTCCCCTGACGCAAATTGAGTCAATTTCTTCTTGTCCTGGAGGAGAGACTGACCCCTGCCTCACGACAGCCTCCTTTCAGGTAGCTGTAGAGAGCGATAAGGTCTCCCTTGAGCCTCTTCCAGACTAAACAACCCCAATTCCCTCAGCCGCTCCTTGTAAGGTCTGTGCTCCAGCGCCTTCACCGGCTTCACTGCCCTTCTCTGGACATGTTCCAGCACCTCCATATCCTTCTTGCAGTGAGATGTCTTGTCAAAAGAAGATGGCTATATTAGATCAGATCTAAGTTCATCTAGCAGTCTGTTGTTTTGGGCAGTGATTAATAACCATCAGTTATATTATCTGAAATTAAATAATATTAAAATTGGCATTAAAGGATGTTATAAGAGCTGCTTTCTCCAGCAAATTCTGGGACTTAAGGATTCCTCCTGCCCCATCACTAGTGCCAAGATCAGTATGTCCAGCGGTCTCTTCCTCCTTGGCTGATGGATATGACTGCTGCTTTCCTATTTGCTCATCCAATAGCGCAATTGTTTATTCTAGATATGCACACAGAGAACACTAGAACAACCAGCTACACAGTCTGCCGCAGACAGGGCACTGTCTTTTAACCACCATACCTAACACCAACAGAACTCACATAAGATAAGTACAGATAGCAGGTCCCATTCCTCTTCTCCAGCTCATCAAGGATGCCAGTGAAAACACCCATGCGCTAGATCCACAAGACCACACACATTCAGATACCCTGAATATCAGCATTGGCCTGCTGGCTACCCCTGGATCCTGAGGCCCCTTATGCAGTATACAGGTCTGCTCATGAGCCAGCCTGTCTAGCTTGCCCACTAGCTAACAGATGCATGCACTCACATGCCTTATCAGCCCCCCACTACTCCCACATTCCTCCAATATCAACACAGACTCTCAGCCTGCCTAGTATCTATGTTTGGACCCTGGGCCTCCTAATGCTTGACAAGTCCATCTTGAAGTTTGCTAGCAAATTTTACAAGAAATCACCAGGGGGAAAAAAACACAAATCCTCCAGTCCCCCTGCAATACTTGCCAATGACAAGACCCTCACCTATTCCACTTGTTGATACTACAGACACAGGGGCTGCTATAGTCCATGGCCTGACTCCAGATGCCAGCTCTTAATTTACTCACTCCAATATCTCCAGTCGCTGGAACCCAAGGCTTGCGGTACTCACGCATGCAGTAACAAGTGAGATTACACTGAAAAACAGTTAAGAAAAGATTTATCAATATAGGTTACACTGCAATGATTAGGCACAGGGCTTAGGTGGATAAGAATAATGACTAGCAGCTATTACAGAACTGTCTCCTTTTGTCTAGACTCCTATTTCCTCATGTTCATTCTTTATTCCTTCCTGTTCCCCTTTCCTTGAACTTCCTTTCATAAGCTTCCTTTTATCAGGTAGCCCAACAGGCCCCTCTCAAATATCCCAAATCTTCATGTTAGTCTTATTTCTCCTTTTTCAGTTACAAAGCCCTCTCCAGAGCTATGTCCTGTAGTTTTCTAATCCTGACAGTTAATGCGTAAAGAACTTCTCTATCATTTTCTTCCTTATTACTTATCTAACAGGTTTGCTTCCCTGTGTTTTTTTTTATTGCTTTCCCCTTTACTTACTATCCTATTTGAACTGAAAATGTCCTTGGGCTGATAACCTTAAGAAGGTGAATGCCCTCACATATCCTTACCGTAACAAAAAAGATGCATCTGAAATCATTGTATCAAATACTATTTCTGCTATAACTGAACTAGGCTCCTGTAAAGTAGGCAGTAATGTATCAGCCTCTGTTTCTGTATCTGAACAGCAGTCTACAAAATGCACTAAGGCCACAAATTTCATAACAAGGGTCATTCCAATTTGGTGACAAATACAAAAAAATTTAAAAAGAGACAATCCAACTAGTATATTAAATGCTATTCAAACCTTGAAGAGCTAATTTCTTCCTCTTCTGTGGATGGTTTCAGTATTTTATAAAGATTAAGTAGATACCTTCAGTATAAAGATTTATCAGCAAAAGATCATCCCACAGAAGCAGAGAGGACATTACATTAAAAACAAACAAACCTGTAGTTGTGCCATGACTTGACAAACTAAGATGCTACCATTCAATTTAATTGAGTTTAGGCAATAAACAAGACACCGGCACACAAGCTATTGGGAAAAAAGTCATCACACCTAGTTCCACTTCTGATATTTTGAGTCCATAAGACACTAAGTTACTTCAGTTTTCTTAACTACAAAGCCCAGTTCTCACTTGCGAACAAAGAAAAGAATACATCAAAGGAATATCAATACATGTATTTGCTAGTTTCACAGTGTATGTTCGATAGAATAAGGTATACAAATAAAGAGCAAATCAAGTTATTAACAGCACATGTTTGTTCATACAGTGTATGTTCTATGTAATATTGTATAAAAATAAAGAGGACGTGATAACACACAACCTGCCCACGTGAATTGCTATTAAATGTTTTATGAGATGTAGGAAGCGATGGGCCTTCTTCACAGCTGGCACACCAGTGAATCCAAACACTACTCACGCCCACAACAGGACCTGAATGGTCCAGCTGGAATCAGAGATCACCATCTTACCGTGCTAAGGTAAAGGGAGATGCCTCCTTGCCCTAAAGAGTTTAGGAACAGAACCAAAACGAGAAGCTTGAACAAAATCTTAAATACAAACAAGCAACAGATGTCCAATTTGTACAAGATCCACTAACAGCTTTTTTTTATTGAAGTTCTTAAAAATGAAAGGATGCTGTCTCCTGAAATTTTCATTGTTGGTTGAAACTTTGTATTTTTGCCACTAAAGTTAATCTAAACATTGTTTTCAGCAACAGCAAGTACACTAGAACCGAGTTCTTCAACGCTAACAAGAAGCACAGCAGCACAACTACAGAAGCCAACTGCATGCACACGCACGTGCACATACACAATAAAAACAACATCAAAAAAAAAATCTGTGGAATAGAAGTCAAGTGTATTTAACAATTGATATCTCAATACTGAGCTAAACTGTTATACACTTAAACAAGCAACAACGACAACAACTTTAGGGCATCATTTCTGACAAAGAAAATTCAATTTCTACAAGTTCTGTAATTTTGCAAGTATATTTGAAGCAGAATCAAGTACGTAAAGTTAAATATAACAGTTTTGGTGAACTTTAGGACCTTTCACCTGTTTTTACCACATGGGTTCTTTGTTGGTATCGATTTCACACTAAGATCTCCAAAAGCAAACCAGCATGTTCAACACAGTACACACACACACACACACACACAGACACACACACAGCCAAGTCCCCTGTGTAGTTTTTTTTTGAATTATAAAGACCATCTTTATAAAAGATTTCACTTTTATGCATACTGTATCGTCTACCATACGAATAAATACTTGTAATATACTTTAAAAAAATCAGATCATAAATCTTGTCTTTGAAAACTTAAAGACACCCAATTTATTTAAGGCTCACGAAGTGATTTCAAATGTTATAATCCCTACATTTGAAAAAGGTATCAGTATCAGTAAAGTTTATTTACATATTTTAAAAGGAGTTACACAACATGTTTTAAATACTTAACAGTTCCACTCCCCAGATATACTTTTCCCCTGCTTCACCTCTGTCCTTTCATTCTTCGTGTTTTTATATTATCATCTTTGCAAAAGAAACAAAATACCAAAAAAGACACAAACAAATATTCAGTTCAGCTCCTTTCAAACTTAACAGAACTCTATTAAATACTCAGGATAGATTTGGTTGGCATCAAAGATAACAAAGATCTTTGGGTTCCAGGTATTATCCACACAGCTGTCATACAAGTTCACAAAACTTCCATCTCTTGAAGGAGGCCTCATGTATTTTGAATCACCATTGATATAGTCACCAGTTAGTACACGAGCAAGAAACATTACTTTATCTGGTCTATGCAGATGAGGTTGCAGATTCACACCATGAATTTGAAAAGTATCTCCATGCTTTATGTCTTCTTTGCAGAAACGACTAGAATATAACGCATCTCTTGCAAAGTAGGTCCCTTTCAAGAAAAAAAAAAAAATCTGATGACATTCTTAGCATGATAGCTTTACTACCAGTGTACTGATAGAGGTATGAAAACAAAGAGGTCAATTATTTAATATTCATTAACAATCCGATGATTATTTTCTAAATCAATACAGAAACATGAGCCATATATTTTCAGTGTGACCAATATTTTTGTAGGGAGGGTGTCTTGTGAGCCATCACTGCTTACTGCTTTCCCCCATTCTGCCCTACTAGTTAGCTTTAAAATTAAATTGCTTACAACATCCTAGCTTTCTTAATTACACTTGCCCTCAAAACCAGAGCTATATTAAAGAGCTCGCCACATACACAGAGAGAATAACTGTTACAGGGGACACTTAATGCTGACCTGTTAAGATTACTGAATTATTGCATGTAAGAAAAATATTTACCTTTTCCATATACAGCAGCATGCATACCATTTATTCTCCAGTCAAAGTTATGAATACATATTGCTTCTACAAATTCATTACTGGTCCCGTGAAATAACATCTGCTCATTAATAGTGGGGACACCTCTTTTCTTCTTTAGTTGTGCTTTTTTCCTACAGGGAAGAAAGAATATATAGAATTACAAACATCTGTACAATCAAATTAAGTTTCTATTCTAAAAATACTACAGAGAGGGCAGTCCTGAAACAGTATAAATTCCACCTTCCCAAGTGACTAGATTAGAGTTCTCAAAGAGACCAGAATTCTTAAGATAAGTGTTTAGACATCACAAGTTTCTGGATGCTGTAGACTATTCTCATAACCTAAGTTTATTGATCTTCCCAACTTTGTTCATGTGACATTATTTGCAGAATGGTCATTTTCTACAGATTTTTTTTATAAGATTTTTTTTTCCACAGTGTGCTTTGTTTTTGTTTCCTGCATCTGCTTAGATAGCCTACAGTGGGACAAAATCAGTTAGTAGCTTATAACGTATAATTACTCAAGTAAAATAACAAAATGCATTAAAATAAAATAACCTAAAATTTCTCCTAAAATTATGTCTACAAGATCATTTTATAACCATTTTATGAATTAATGGTTCACATGCTTCTGAAATGAGATAGGTCTCACTTTGGGAGGATTACATCATTCAAGCATTTTGAACAACGATCAAAAATATATATATGTATATACATATATACAAATATGCACAAATACACATATATATATGATGCATAATATAGGCTGTGTAATATATACATATATATGTATATATTATGCACGCATGAGCCTATATTACACTCACACTGGCAGAAGACCATGGCACTCCTACTATAAAGGATAGATATAATTTCCATCAATCTTTGTTCAAGAGAGTTTCTATCATCAGCTACATCTTCTACTAAGATCCATGAAGAAGTGGACTCTGGAATATGTCTAAACCACTGGCTATACATGCTCAGGAACCCTTGATTGTCTATAAAACAATGTTTTTACTTGCTATTACTCATAATTTGCTTATTAATACATTTCCAGAAGAGGAAATAATAAAAAAAAAGATTTTTCTTCACATACCTTTATTCAGATACAGCTACTCAGAACAGTTTTGTAGGTGCAGTCATATTGCTATACTTTAGTATTTATGATGTGTGAAATTAATTTGCATCCTTACTTCATACTTTTAAAATGTTATAGCACAAAATTTACACACTCAAAGATTCTTAAACCATGATTTCTATCTGCTGTTGAACCTGGAAAACTGGTAGGCTCTCCAAATGATCAGTTGCTTTTCTAACCAATAAGTTGCTTTTTTGATCTATACAGGGAAGCAGGGAGTTTTTTGGGTTTTTTTTTCTGTATGGTGAGGTGTGGTTTTTTTTTTTTTTTTTTTTGCTTTCATTATAAATCTATACTGGGGACTCAGAACAGGAAACATCATCTAGTTTAAAGTCTGCTTGCTATTCTTAGTTTCAAAAAAGTTATACATTAAAAAGGGAAAAATAGAGCTCTACAGAAACTTAATTTGAACTAAAAGCTGATATACAACAGAACAATAGACATTAAAACATTCGGCCAAGCAAATAAGACTTTATATTTAAATGTAAAAATATCTATAAGATTTAGAATTAGCAGAAGGCTAAGTCTCTGAAACTCTCTTCTTCAAGCATATTCATGATGTATATAATGAACATATATGGATATATAATGAATTTCATAGTTTTCCAAAGAACAAAGTAAACAACTGCCATAAGTTTAAATAATAAAGAAATACTAAGGAGACTTATATCAAAACATATTATTTTTAATAACACAGTACATCTTTAAAATTGTATCTTATGCTCTCTTTTTGGACATGAGACAGAGCTTATGATCTACAACTACTACAGATTGATACTGGAAAGAAGCAGAAACCTTCGCACTTTCAGTTTAAGCCCAGCACAAAACGGGAAAAAGCAGAAAAACTAGAAAGCAGAAAAGCTATTGTGGCAGCACAATAAGCTTGGAGAAATGGCACGATTATGTGCTAATTAGACACAGTCCTACTATGTGTTTCATAAAGTTGATAAAGCTAAGAAATTTGTCAAGCCTCAAATATTGCTGACTTTTTTTTTTCTTTTTAAACTAGCATTTAACTAATACAAGCCTGACATTGTTTCATTAAAAGAAGCTTATTTTCTTCCTCTTTACTTGACTGTAAATATCATGGGCCTCTATCACACAGACATTCTGAACACTGACCACATGTGAGAACAGAAAATTCAGACAGGGAGCATTCTGAAAAAAATGACTTCTTTTTAAACACAATCAACCGATATCCCAGGCTAATAAGTCAATCTCCTTGCATTTTCACACATTCTTTACTAGCTGGTCAGCTTCATGCTCAAAGACTTTCAATTTTTTAAAAGGGTAGAAAACAAACAAACAAAGGTCTACCACCTCATTCTCATTCAGGAGAGTGTAATGTTGTACCTAAAAAAAAAAATAGTGACTTCTCAGCCTTTTCACGAAAATATAAAAAGCTTTAGTTCAAATAAAAATATTTATTAAAATGTTAAAATTAAAAATAACTTTGACAAATTCTCCAGGAGATTGACATTACTACAAGAGAACGATAGCAGTGCCAAATACAGCACAATAATTAAAAAATTACTGGAACAGCTAAAATGGCTGCAAAGTCAGAATACATTCCATTCATTATATATTCCAGTTCATTTTGGTTCTACCCTGAAATCCTAGAGCTAACATACTGTAGCCAGTATGTCAGCTTTTGCTGTCATTTTATTCACCTTTACAGCTAGCAATTGCATATTTCACAAATTAATTTAGCATGATATTAAATACTGATTTTTATGCAATTTGTTGGATTAGAATAATACTTGAACATGATAAAGGTCAGCACATTTCAATGCATCAGTCTGCTCTGTGCTACATTCACATCTAATGCATTAATGCACGTGTTAGTTCTGCACAAGCAAAAGCTTCAGAGACTTTAAATTATAATTTGAAATACAGTTTTGAATACGGAGGAATGACAAGTAAGCAAATGAAGACAAAACTGTTTAAAAAAGTAACACAAGTATTTTAATCTTTTGTAAGTAATTAGACATATTTCTGCTGCATGCTTTCAATATTTGTTCTGTTAACAGTCCTAAAATAATATTGGTTTTCAAAATAATCTCACCTGCAAAAAAACTCCCACAAGTCTAGATTTTGTATTCTCTTAATTCTTTTAATTCGGTGGCTATCCATTGTTTTTCCAAAGAGACTAGAAACTTCATTATATTCATTTGTTTTCTTTTGCAAAGGAATAAGCTGAAAAGAAAAAGGTTAGTATAATTTCACTGAGATGCATTATTTCATTACCATATGACTTTGGACAGCTGACATACGAACTCTTACCTGATATGCCTCCTCAGTATTTACATTCTCCCAGTGTGACGGTATAGGGATAGCCTCATTTTCACAGATGAAACTTAAAAAAAAATAAATAAATAAAATAAAGATAATAATAATTGCAACAATATGAGGCATTTTCTCGTGCCCTTGGAATGCCTGTTCTGTACAACGAGCTATGAAAAAAAAAAAAGCTAAAATAAAACCACATAGAGTTTTAATTTTCACAGAGACAACATGCAAGGCCAGATGTCTTATTTTGTATTCAAATTCGGCTTTGCTTATTGCAAACAAACAGTGGTAACAAACAGTTTCATTACACCATCTATTGAATAAAAAATAGGAAGGTAAATCAGAAATGGTAGTCAAAAAGGTATTGAGAGCAACACTGATTTAGAAACACTGGATGTAAATATAGCTTGAATTTTCCAAAGTAACAGGAATTACAGCTGGCCTAAGACTCTAGAAAGTAAGTCTTCATTTTAAGCGCATACTTAAAAGTTACGGTTATATTTGTTTTTATACTCAAAAACGTATATTTTAAGCATATACATAAATGTGCATACATAGTAGGGTTTAGGTTGTAAAAAAAAGAGACTAAACCAATCTCTTGAAACTGAAGAACAATGCCATCGCATGTAAGCGGCAGATACTGTACCAAATGAAATTCTTCAATAAACAAAATAACAAAACTGAATTTCAACATTATATGCCTTCTTCAGCAAGCACCCTTGAAAAAGTTACAGTTGACACTTCAGAAGCCAAAGGTTTTCAGAACATCAGCATAAAGATTGCTACAACATCCATTACAACATCCATTAGGTTCTGTACCTGGGGAGGAATAACCCCAGACACCAGTACAGGCTGAGGACTGACCTTCTGGAGGGCAGCTCTGCAGAGAAAGACCTGGGTGTCATGGTGGATGACAAGTTGACCATGAGGCAGCAGTGTGCCCTCATGGCCAAGACGGCCACCTGGAATCCTGGGGCGCATTAAGAAGAGCATCTCCAGCAGGTTGAGGGAGGTGATCCTGCCCCTCTACTCAGCCCTGGTGAGGCCACATCTGGAGTACTGTGTCCAGTTCTGGGCTCCACAGTACAAAAGGGATGTGGAGCTGCTGGAGAGAGTCCAGTGCAGGGCTACAAGGATGATCAGGGGCCTGGAACATCTGCCCTATGAGGAGAGGCTGCGGGAGCTGGGCCTGTTCAGCCTGGAGAAGAGAAGGCTGAGAAGGGACCTGAGCAGTGTATATAAGTACCTCAGGGGAGGGGGGCTAAGAGGATGGGGCCAGCCTCTTTTCGGTGGTGGCTACCAACACTGCTAGAGGTAATGGCCAAAAACTGAAACACCAAAAGCTTCACAGGAACTTACAGAAAAATTGTTTTAACAGTGAGGGTGACGGAGCACTGGAACAGGCTGCCCAGAGAGGTTGTGGGGTCTCCTTCTCTGGAGATCTTCAAACCCGCTTAGATGCCACCCTGTGCCACGTGCTCTAGGTGACCCTGCGTGTGCAGGGGGGTTGGACTAGAGGTCCCTTCCAACCTTAAGCATTCTATGATTCTATGATTATAAATGCCAAATTTTGCTTTGAAATTAAAACCAGACCACAATTCAGAATAAATTGAGAAAAATCTCACAATCCACACAATGTTATCTGCACTACTACGAATGCATAGACCAATCCATTGTTTGAACATACACCTCTATCTAATGACTGATCAAAACACAAGAAACTATAATCTAAAGCAACTAGACTAGCAAGACCAGCTGCTCCTTATGATGCATATTTTTGGCATTTACTATCTTTTTAGAGAAAATTATCAAAACAGAGAAAATTAGCAAGAATAAAAATTCAAATAAGGATAATTCAAATCATTCATTTTACTTCCTTACCTGAAAGCATTGATAGAAAAGGGAGCTCGCTTTATTGGACGTTGCTTAAGTGTAGTTAGATTGGTTTGCTTCATCGCTGAACATAAAACAAGAGTTAGAATGAAAGTTTCTGGAATTCATCTACAGTATATGAAACATATAAATAATTTTTCTTCATAGGATTGCTACTTCAAAAGTTGCCTGACAAGAATTGCTGTTTCATCAATTAACAAATCAATATATTGGATAAGCATTTTGAAATACTGGTCTCAGTATCATCATTGTTTCTAACAGTTGGAAAAAAAATGCAAATACTACATAAAACAAATATCATGATGATTATTATAATACTACTGGTGAACCATTCATCCCCACCACCAACGGCAAAATTCCAATGATTATAATGCAACTAATATGCCAAAATACAATACTGCATCACTTATACATACCTATCTACTATGCTTAATGCAAGAAGTCATGACCTATGAGATTTGTAAAGTTGTTATTTAGCATTTATATTTGGTTTGTTTTTAATCACAGATGCGAAACAAACGTCTTTTAGTAGACATTTCAACAAAAGCAAACACCAAACTTTTCCTATTGTTCTAGGAGTACCTTACTCCCTGTATATTACAGTTCTACTCACTCCCCTTTCTATTTGAAATACTGTTATTTTCATTGACCCGGAAGAGATTTCTGTATAAAATAAAGTTAGATGATAAATGCCATTAGAATCCAAAAACAGTCTATAATTTACAATTATCGCATGAGTGAGCTCTTTACACTTTACCAGAAAAGCCTTTTGAGTATCTCTTTTTGTTCCAATAACAAAATTGGCTTAAAGCACCTGCTGAATGACAAAATTGCTTTAATGCTAGCATTTTGCAGAAAGATTCTACTACATCACTATTTCCTACAGAGACCTTGAATGGAGTATTTTTTCAAGCCTACAAGTTGTTATATATTAAAGCTCAAACTTCCCAGCCCCAGGAATGTATGCTAGATACTAGCTGGAGCTCGGGTAAGCCAAGGTAAAATGCTAGAAGCTACTATGCAAGACATGCTACCCCGATAGTAAAATATATATATATATATATATATAAAATTAACAATTCATCTGCCTCCAAAATCTCACAAATACCTTCCAATCATGGAACCGGAATTACCTATACAATCATGAGCTTTTACACCAGACATGAGTAAAATGACTTGCTGAATGAACAAATAAACTAATGCATCGTCACTTTCCAATAATTTATAACAAGAGACATACCTGAAAAGTCTAGCGTGTAGTTAAATTTTGCAGTAGTAAAAGAAACGGATCCTTGTGGGTTTGTTCTGAAGCTCCTTTCAATATCTTCACTGCTAACTGAGCAATGATTGTTTGAATCACTCTTTAAAACAAATCGAAAGCGTATTTAGGCAAATTCAACAGCGGTTTGACATACTGAAATCACCACAACTAAAATAACTTCATATATAGTTACCTGAAACATATGCCATTTACCACACTCAGCCAAATAAAACCAGCCCCACTGGGTGTCTGAGGTATCCATCTCTTCAACTGCACTTTCCATCTTTGGAAAGAAATCTTCTGATGCTCTTTGAAGCATTTCCTGCAATGTACGGGTATATTTTTTTCTCTTAAGTAGGAAATCAAGAAACTTTCTTTATCTGGTTTAAAAAAAATTAACTGTAAAGTTAGTTAAACATTTTCAAAGATAACTCTTTCTCAAATGTTAATAAACATATCATTGGGTTAAGAACTATAGATCTTGTCATATCAAAAAGAGGTGCTAAATTGACAATGATGGACATATAAGCAAACCCAGACATAAATACGATAGGGTATGAATTACATACCACTTAGGAATAAGATATTGGGATTAGATCCAATAGCTTGACAAAAACATCTACTACATACTCACCAGATGTAAACAAATCAGATGAGATGGCAGGAGTTACTAGAAAATAAATTAGAATCTGAAACAAGTAACATCATTATGGCACTGTGTAAGGCTACAGTGCATTTTTCCTCAACACTGCACAAGAATACAATGAAATTATGAAAGGTACAGAGAAGGCTGCCCAGAAAAAAAGGAAAAAATATAAGCTCAATGGCTTTCACACAAGGAATGACTACCAAAGATAAGATTCTCCAGGATGGAAGAAAGAGAACTGAAGAAAGGATGTACGAGAAGGTTAAAAAAAATCATGGCAGAGTTACAGAATCACAGAATAGCTGAGGTTGGAAGGAACCTCTACAGATCATCTAGCCCAACCTCCCTCCCCCTACTCTAGCAGGGACACCTAGAGCACATGGCACAGGGTGGCATCCAGGCATGTTTGGAAAATCTACAGAGAAGACTCCACAATCTCTCTGGGAAGCCTGTTCCAGGACTCTGGCACCCTCACAATAGAGAAGGTCTTCCTCATATGGAGATGGAACTTCCTGTGTTTCAATTTATACCCATTACCCGTTGTTCTGTCACTGGCCATCACTGAGGAGAGTTTGGCCCCATCCTCTTTACATTCTCCTCTCAGATATTTGTACATGTTAAGCTCCCCTCTCAAGTCTTCTCTTCTCCAGGCTGAACAAGCCCAGTTCGCTTAGTCTTTCCTCATACAATAGATGCTCCAGTCCCTTAATCATCTTTGTCACTCCACGCTGGACCTACCTTCTACTATCTAGAAGCAACTCATCCCTCTTGTACTGGGTAGTCCAGAACTGCACCCAATACTCCAGGTGCAGCCTCACCAGAAATGAGCAGAGGGGCAGGATTCCCCTCCCTCCACCTGCTGAGGACGCACCTCCCAATGCAGGCCAGGACCCCATTGGCCTTCTTGGCCACGAGGGCACACTGCTGCCTCATGGTTAACTTGTCAACCTGGACACCGAAATCTCACTCCACAGAGCTGTTTTCCAGCAGGTCAACCCCTAGTCTGTCCTGGTGCCTGGGTTATTCCTCCCCAAGTGCAGGATTCTGTGCTTGCCTTTGTAAGCAGAGAATTGAACAGAGTTGAACAGAGAACAACTGATTACATATTCTTCCAAACTAAGAAAAGGTCATCTAACAAAAGCTCTAAGTGGTAAGTTCAAAAAAAATGAAAGGAAACATCTTCATAATAGATGCCTAAACTATGGAATCCTTTTACATGGTATGCTGTGTTCCATGGAAACAAAAAAATCACAACAGCCCCACAAGATTTCAACTTAACAATAAATCACTGAAAATTCTGAATTTGACTCTACTTCCATACATCTTCCAACTTGTCAAAATCAGGTTTTTAAAAAAAAAGAGGGGGGGGGAGATTTCAGGAAAGCAGGTTTACTTAATCCCTTAAAGAGTTAGTTTATCCCATCTAACTGACTAACCATATTGGCAGTCTTCTCAACCTTTTTCCTCAACTTATTATCTTTTGCTTTCAAAAAGTGGAACACCACACTCCAGCACAAATAAGTCAAAACACATTCTCCAGCTAGCAGCCTCGATGTTTTAGTCACTTCCTTAGAAGGCACCTTGGAAATGAAGGAGTATGAGGCAATGGGCCAGTGCCACTGAGGCAGGAATTAAGGACAGTTGATGTTCTTCTAGCATTATCTTCCTCCATATTTTTCTCAAGCAAAACTTTAATGGTGTTTTCAAAAATCACAGAAACCACTTCAGGAAATACCTAGATTTCAAATAAAGCACTATTTCAAAAGAGGAAAAGTTCCTACAAATCTACATGCTTAGAAAACAGGGAAATCGGTCATAGACCTCCATGGAAACCTCTACATTGCAGAGCCTCAGGGCACATCTACTTTAGGCGAAATGGAAGCACATCCATATCTTCCTGGACAGCCTGGTTTAATGAGAGTTCCATTACACACTGGAACATTACAGTCCATTACACTCTTGGCAGCTTACTTTTATTATTTAAACCTACTAGAATAGCTGCCTCAATTTTAAAATTGAGAATTGATGCTTTCACCTACATGCCGAGTCACTGTTGTCTACACTTCTACAAAGCCAAGAGGAAAGAAGAAAACTTTTCTGGGGTACAGTTTAGTTTTCTCATTTGCCCCCTACAATAACCAGACCTCAGATCCATCTAATATTAGTTCAAGGCCTTGAATCTGATCATTCCAATTACTAATGGCTTTAGTACAGCTACAAGCAGTGAAACTGCTGATCTGCACCTATGTACACACTTGCACTCCTTGGGGAGTAACATAGGCTCTGGGGGGAAAGGACGAAAAAAAAAAAAAAAGCCCATTCCCATAACTTTCAAAAATGTTACCTCCAGTCCACACATTATCCCAGTCAAAACCTCGCATAGATGCCTGGATACTTCTAAGTATGGAAGAAGGATGCAAACCATAAACACTAAAAAGAAAACAGGAGAGCTGCACTGAAAGGTAATCCAAATCCCACAAGTTTAAAACAAAATTCCTCAATTTACTGATGAATTTAAAAACCAATGGTTTAAAAATCATTAAACTGATAGATTTTTTAAATCCACCTCATTTATAATGAGTAGATAATTTTTTGTCCAACATGCACTGTGAGAAGAAAAGTTTCGCCTTTTTTTCTCTATATAAACAGAATATCAACAATGAAATATGCAGCAATGAGAATTTCATTTGCAATGTTACTGCTAACAGAGTTGCTTTCAGTTTCCATTACTAGCACTGCTACTTCTGGCCCAGAAGTTATCAGGAACTTAGTAATAACCACAACTATTACTCTGACAGCAGCAAGTTTCTTCTAAGGAGCGCCTGGTGTGTTGTGAGGGTGCTGTGACTGACAGGCTGTAGTGCTAACACATTTGCTCCTTTCTTGGGGAGGTTTAAGTCTGCATAATAAATATGCTTTACAGTGCCTCCAGATGGGCTATTCTGCTTTCTTGTGTTGTCCACACAGACATTTGTTCCATTACACTTAAGTAAAAAAGGAATCTTTTGCCAACAATCAAGTCTGCATAGTCCCCAGCTGGTCTGCTAGCAGCCCTAAGCGAGACTCCTGCTCTTCCTTAGGTAGTAAAGCATCTGTGGAGACTTTTCCAAGATGAGAAACACAGAGCTAGGAAGGGGTAGCACAGAAAAAAAAATAGTAACAGCATAGCGCAGGTACAGGCCTCGAGCTGCGACCTGAGGAGCCGGATCGCACAAGGACGATGCCCTGGCCACTACCTCTGCACTTCTGCTGCCCTCGCCCCTTCCCCTACCCGCTTCCACAGCCGAGCCCGTCAGAGCTCGGGGACGGG